ATACAACATCAACTCCACAGTCATCTCGTCAAACATTCGCTTTTTCTCTCTTCTCTGTGCTTGGTCTTCCTTTCTTGTCGTTGCGTTCCTTTGACTCACACTTTATAACACCTCCTTTCTTCTACCTCTCCTACCGTATATCAGACCGCTGGCACCAATGGTGATCAAAGATCTGTAGTATCGTGATTTGCGCATTGCCGTTCTGTTCCGTCCCTAGGTCATTCTCGTTTCCTATGTCATGGTCGATCACTTGGATTTCTTCTTCTCACCTTCCTGATACTGTCGTAATCTTTGATTCCTATTGTCTGTCTCAACAATGGAAAGGTCCTCGCGGGTCCAGTTTCGCGATTTGCGGAGCGTCGGATCCATTCCCTCAATTGCCGGCCGGCGTCACTTCAATATGTTACGATTTCATCGCAGCCCATCTCGTCGATTCGTACAAGGAATATGGTGCCAGTACCCGCGTCGTTATCGTCATGTTTCGCCTGTCCATGTGAGTGTCGTGCGCTTCGGGCTCTAATGTATGTCAGTTTTGACTTCATCAATTGTCATCTCGGCTTTGGATTTCTCTCGCCATTAACGATCCGAGGTGCTCTTTTGAAAGGTATACGTGTCGATCCTCGAACATAACACCACTTCCTCGACCTGGGTCTATCAGCCTACGTCGACGGTCCCAAAGTCGAATTCATGAGTATTGACTCAAGTATCAACGTGCTAGATCAAGGTGGTGGATTTATGAAGCTGGGTGTTCAGATCTAGCCTCGCCCACTCACCCTGCGAGGGAGTATGAAGGTTCAGGGATTCAGGGAAGGCTTACTCGGGACGCGATCTGGTCAGTGTCTTCCGTGAACGGCACGGTTCAGCGCTGACGTGTTGTATTGCTCCTTTGCATGACCTTAGTGGAGTATCTTGCGCTCTGTCCTTGGCAGCAGCTGGCAGGCAATTTCGACGTGTCGAGTCCATCAGGCGTATATCCGTTGTGGCCAACGAAGATCACTGCGGCCGTTAGCATGGAATGGGCTGTGTTTACACTTCAAAATCCGCGTGGCGACGTTACTACCGCTTGCTCGTGTCGATCACGAATTGCTCCATTTCCCTGCCCGTCGTCTACGTCTCGCTCTTATGATGTCTTGCCCTTGCTCGTCTCCTGTTATTTGAAAGGTTCTCCACGACATCGCGTAATAACGTCAAAGGTCGATGCAACCGTCGAACAACCTCGACGGGTAGATGCTGATCCGTTCAGCGCTGAAGAGCTTGTTGTACTGTCACATTGATCACTCCCATGGGTAGGCATATCTGAAAGCTGCGGTCAACAGGATGAACAAGTTGCACTTCGAGTGCTCTTGTGTGAGGATAGCGTGTTTCGTACCGTATTTTGTTTTCTGAAGCTTCTGTGGGCGCCTAGGCACAGTGTCGGTTCGGAGGCGAAGTGGCAAAGGTACAGTCGAAGCAACCCAATTTCCTACAAGTGTTGGTTGACAGGGGAATTTTCGATATGCAGCTGCTCTTTGGTCTAAGTCGATGAGCCGAACTGAAGGCGGGGGCTCAGAGGTTGCCGGAGAGGGTGAGCTAGGCACCTACGCCCCATAACGCGCGCACAAAGGCCAGTCGAGTACTCGGCGCTGGTGTTGTCTTTGTGTTTGCGTGTCATCATGTCGCCGCCATTTTCTTGAGCTAATTTCTAAATGGAGAGCTAGCTGAATGCGACTCCGGTGTCGAATGGGTGAACAATGGGGAGACCGTCGGGGCGGTGTTGAGATTGAAGACTTCCCATCCCTGTGCGACTGCTGTTAGAGACGATGAGAGTCTCCTATGCTTTGAAGATGCTTGACAAAGCAGCTGGAGCTCCTGGATGCGGCGTCGGACCTGTTGCGCTCATTTCATCGCCAGTTTCGGAAGATTCAGGAGACACATGCCATCGGGAACGAGAAAAGAGTCTCTGGTGATACAGATTTGGTCGCAGGTTGTAGAAGATGGGGATTTGTGAATGGAAAGGGTTGTCGTGGTGTTGGTGTCTGGGGTGGTGCGGTGGTGTGGGGGGTTTGGTGGTGAGAGACCTCCAAAGCCCCAGGGCACTAGCGCAAATCTTGGAAGTCCGACAGGAGGCATTATCGCCAACACACCTACGGGAAAGACTCCCATTCACAGATTCAATTAACATAGCAGAAAGCCCTCATACAACACCATGGCACCTGTGGATATGCCGGTTTTCCATCGCCGCCATGGTAGCTCCAACGCCAATGTCTTCCGCCATGCGCCTAAGAACCCGCGCCCTCATCTGCCCTCGCCAATGTGCCCTGAATATATATAGCTATCCTCCTATTTCCAGTATGAAAACCTTCTCGTCAACTTCATACATTCCAGAAAGATGGGCCTCGTTCGGGGGAGGAGGGGTAGAGCGCGGCTCGAGCGGCTGGGATATGGTGGTTCGTGAATCGGTTGCTGTTGGAGATCTACAACTCTGGTAAGAAATCAGGAACTGTACTGCCCTAGTGTGTGCCGATGAGAAGGGCTGGGTTGGGGACCCGAGTGCGCCCTTCGAAGACGCCCCAGGTGAACAAGAACAAGGAAAGGCCTGGGTGATTGAATGAAAGCTATGATATACATCACCACGTTTGGGACAATTCCAGAGGGCTTGGGGCGTCACGTCTTGGTTGAATCATCACATAGAGAAGATCTTATGCGAAGAGACTCGCCAGGAGTTAGACGCTGCCCATATGCAGTTTAAACGGTCAGCTGTAGTAGTTCTTGGAGGCATACCCTGAGAAAGGTCCCTCGAAGCGCCCTTACTCGGCACACCAAAGGGTGCTTCGTCGTCATCTGGGATCAGGTCTGTTCAGTGTTCCCACCCTTATTCAGGTATACCCAAGCGCTGTGAGTCCCTTCGCTCAACCCCCGCGGCAGTCTTCCCATACTCTCAATCACTCTCAAAACACTCCTATCCACCTCGCGAATTGCCTTCCTGTGTGCTCACGAGCGAGATTAATATCTCTACTCAGTCGATGATCGGTTCGAAATTCCAAACAACATGTTCATGCCGTTATGAGCCGTCAAAATACCCCATCGCCTCATCCAGTGATATCCGATGAAGCCAGACACACCGGCCGCGAACCAGGGGTAGCAGAGCTCCAGATCACTGAGGACATTCAGACCGCACGCCATTGTGTTATCGTTGGCTACAGAAGCACAAAGTACGATGTTGACGCCGAGTGTGTGACTTCGTCATTGGCGACGGTAGTAGCGGACGAGGTAGCTGATGGTGACAGTAATCGGTCGATGTCAGTGTCTTGCGTTTATGCAGATAAATTGGGAATTTCAGATTAAGATTATGGTTGTGTCGGCGGTACTATGTGGCAGGAAGACAAGGGGCGTAATGTTGCGTGTAAACAATAGAAATGATCAGCCTCACTTTGTGCCGGTCGGGATTGTTCCAATGTACAGATTGAAACGTCACAACAGCAACTTAAAATACCACTATCATGTTTAGGATTTGTGACTATCGAATATACTAATGTCAATGACAATCCGAATACCCTTCGATCTGCTTCCGTTGAATTTTGCAACCGAGAAACCCTGCCAAACCCTGTGCTAGCGACAGTCCATCAGAAGACCGCTCGCGCTGGAACTTGTTGTGTTGATCGGCAGAATACTGTATGAGGTGATTGATGTTGTGTTCGTGGTACTGGGTGCTGAAACTTGTTGTGTTGATCGGCAGAATACTGTATGAGGTGATTGATGTTGTGTTGGTGAGACTGGAAGCTCTTCATAACGTCAGTGAGACCGAATCAAACGAGGAGTAGGAATACGAACTCACGAAGTCGAGTACAGATCGTCGATTACTTTCTCAGGCTGGCTCCTCGTTCTCCGTCAGACATTTACCAAGCACTCGGGCTAGACCTCTGGAACAGTGCAGCTGTTGGCGAGGGCGCTGGAACTGAATGGAAGAGATTCGGGGTGGTGCCACCACCACCCCCGGGAGTGTTTCGGGTGGCCAGCCTAGAGGAAGTATCAGTGAGAGGTACTCGCGAGCGTAGAGGTAGAGACGAACCCGAAACTGCTCCTAGCTTTGTTCTTCGTTGAAATGGGCACCAGGAGGCCATGCTAGAAACCATCAGCTCAAACGCGACGCAAGGTGAAGAAGGTGAGTACATACCCCGGCGCCGATGGAAAAAGGTGAGAGTCTGCCCGCAGGCTCAGTTAATGTGTATCGTTTAAAGGCCAGCCACCCGACCAGCGGGCGGCCGAATCTGAAACTGAGGTGTTGGAGTGTGAGGAGGAGGAAAGAAGGAGGAGGAGGCGAGAGAGGGCCTTTATATACGCAGCCGGCGGGAGGCTGGGCGCTTGGGCGCTAGGCAGCAAGCCTTTCCGGCCACCGCCGCTCTAAACTCGGCTTCTGACGGGGTGAATGTGACTCTGAGGTCTCTTTGAAGGGGCAGTGAAGAGGTAGAACTCCACTGTTAGTCTGTCCATAACTCTCAGATCCCCGGATACACTCTCTGAACCGATAGCAGCCTGGTATCTGAGACTTGGTCCCACTGACATGACAAGCTTTGCGAATAGAGCGGGATCCATTGTTTGGGCGTGCGTCAAAGACATACTGTAAGATAGTGAGGGGTGTGCAAAGGGCTATACTAAACCCTCAGGCAAAGCACGCCCATGACGATGAATATTGAATATTTTGTTTTAAAGATATTGTACGGCTGGGAAGATTTAGTATCACTGTTGCTCCACGGTTGACAGCGGTGCTAGCCTCCATAGTCGGTCAAAAATTGGAACGAGAATGCCCCAAATCGGCACTGTTGTTGTATGTGTAAATAAACACACGCTCAATCGTAGAAGATATGTCTGTAGCAAATAGCCCTGGAAAAAAGGATATAGACTTCGGCCTGTTTCACTAAACTAAACATAGGGTTTAGAGCAATTCACAAGTTATGAGAACAGCAATTTAAAAAAATATGCATAGTTCAAAGAGCCCGAAGCACTTTAAACTATACACATTATGATCCCAGTGTGACTTGAACACACATGCTTTAGCTGGATTACCAACTCTAATGCATTACCAATTATGCTATAAGACCGTAGATTAAATTATATGCCGATTGCGAACGAAACAGCGGTATATATACAGTTGTAATAGTGTTCCATTCAGCAGATCGTCCTTGAAGAGTCACAGGAGATTTATAATTGTGGGGCACTCTTTGATATAAATTTTCTGCGAAGTGAATCAGACGGCTACCCCGTGCTGGAGGATCCACAACGGAGCTTGACAGTCACCGACCTCTGCACAACGCAATTACAACACCACGGCCATTATCCCGGCGGGGCTCTACGCTCCTTTCCACCGTGGTAGACATTGACATTCCAATTCAGTCGTATCTAGGCACTTCGAAGTCGAGCTCTGCCCCTTCTCATACTACGATCAATATTATACTTCTCAGTTGTAAGGAGCAAGATTCATACAGACCGGCCATGCAAAAACAGCCAGGGTGAAGGTGCTCTGTATCTTTGTGGCATTTTACTCGACAGCAATGTGCCCCTGCATGCGCGTTTGTAGCCTTTCCGTACTAGCGCTAATTGGACGAGCCTGGCGACCTTCACCACCTAAGGCCTACCTCTCCAACCTTTTGCCTCGCCAGTCCAACCTCCAACTCAACTCACCACCCAGATCCAACCTCTTGATTTCCCTATACGCGTCCAGCATTCTTCCGCCTCCTCCGTTCATTGACCACCGCCACCAACATGTCAAACACTCGCCTCATTCTCTTCTTGGCCATCTTCATACCGGGCGTCTGTGTCCTGACTTCAATCTTGGTTTGGTCTGTGATATTGTGCGGCCGTCGCAATCGTCTACCGCGGCCACTGGCACCCGCACCCTTACCTGCACCCGCACCCATACCCGAGCCTAGGCCCAGGGCCAGCTACGTTCCGCTTGTGGCGAGAGAGCCGGCACCGACACCGTTTCCAGGAGGCAACCGTGTTGTAAGTAACTCGCTGTGTAATTATAAGATTCGAAGTTGAGAAGCTTGTCAAGGTCGGATTGAGATGGAGTGAATTGAGGGATTGATGTGGCCTCTCACTGACTTATTAACAGCGAAGCTTCCATATCGTCATGGACGCTACTCCTCTACATTCTCCCTCCACCGCCAACAACGAGCGGGCCGTCGCCCCTGAAGACGTGGACGCAATTTTGCCCTGTTGAGCGTCCGCTTTCGAGCACGACCAACCAACCGACCGATCGAAGGGAGTGCCGTCGCGAACAGTTTCTGGCTTGGGGATCTAGCCTTGCTCTTCAGTTAGCTGGCATGTACATTTTCCTTGAAAGACTTGGGGCTTTTTTCTACAATGATACAGTACGGATTAAGACTTGGGCCTTTCTATAATGATACAGGACGGATTAAGACTTGGGCCTTTCTATAATGGTATACGACGGATTGGGGCTCAGTTCGGTCTCAATTCCGGTGGATAGATAATCATTCCTCTTCTCCAATGAGACGTTTGCATCGTCCGTGACTACTTCCCAACTCGCATTAGTGCTGTGACTATGAGACTGGCTGCCGTATCATGCAGGTGTTGACCTCGTCCCCGGTATCGAGTCCATACTTGGCGCCATGGAAAATCTCTTCATGAACGGGCACGAATCCAAGGCGCGCGTAAAGAGGCCTTCCCATTTCCGAGGCTTCTAGAAAACATGGAAGATTCAAAACGTCGGCTTGAGATGTGCCCCATTTCACAAGCATAGCACCAGCCCCTCGGCGGCCATGGTTGGGGTCGCAAACGAGCATGTGTAGGACTGGGTCTTGGTCAGCGAATGCGCTCCCTTGGACTCAGGCCATGTAGGAAGGAGTCGACGGAAGACATACAACAAAACGGTTTCCCCCCCATAAAGGTGGACCGGCCCCATCTCAAGTACCTCTACACCGAATTAACAGGATGCTTCAGACCGGTACCCAGACACTCACCATCATATCCAACACGGCTTGATTGCCCTCTTCCGCCTTTCCCGGTTTAGGCAACATCCGTTCCACATCTTCCTGTCCTCTATGTGCTTTATTGATCCTCCATTTGCCCACTGCAATGATTTTGTTATCAAGATCCGTGTCAACAACCTTGACGTAGAACACGTCAGGCTCTGTAGTCATAGACTTTGCGTGAGCTTCGATGGACTTGGCGATGGCTTCCGTAGTTATAGGGCGCGGCATGAGTAAAGAAATCATGCCAGTGGAAAAGGCGGCGCGTTGGATCGTCGCCACGTCGGGCATATCGGATAGCGTGACGGGCTGGAGTTGAAGAGGCATATTGGCGGATGTGAATGTGATGGAAGCAGTGTCGTTGCGAGATTTACCCAAGATTTGGTGGAATTCCTGCAGCTCTTAGATGACTGCGACCTTTGGACGAATGAATCTGGACACGTGAGATGTGGTTGCAAACATGTAGAGCTTGCCACTGACTCGTGGGACCCTTATCTATTGCAACAGTCCACTGCCAATCAGTCGTTTGGATGACCGCCCTTCTGGCGCGGCTGATGGCTGACATGGCTGACTGGAAATACTGTAAGATGACGTGACGTGTCCGGAGTTCGAGAGGACTGAACGCCGAGATGGATCCGAGCGACATGCGAGGAATCCGATGATGTTGAAAATCACGTGGATAGGTAATCTGCTGAGCCTAGGGATATACAACAGACCGAGGTGCTATCCAAGCCAATAGTAAGTCGTTGCAAATTCAAAGAGTCCAGCGTTCCGTATTCGTCTCGCCAGACGCCGAGATTTGAATACGCTCAACTTTGTCCTTTATCCAATTCTTCTACAAAGGTAGCTTTGTACTCCAGCACCATTGTCCATTGTTAAACCCCTACAACCCCATTCCAAGCAAAGACTCGTTTTGAGAACCTCGAGGCCTCAATGCCGGATCCCACGATCACGATGCTTGGCAGGCCGAGTCCGAGTCCCTACCCATCCGCCCCGCCCCACCAACACAGTACAGCTCTTCGTCGAAAATCTGCACATAGTCGCAGAAGGTACCCCAATTGGAATCGTCTCTTACCACTGCTCCGGGTCCCAGGCACGTGGTAGGCATGAAACGCAGGATGCGCCGGCGATCTGCTTGGTGAAACGGTCTGTGATCTCAATACCTCGACGTCGTACGAGAAGGATAGGTATAAGAAGAATAGGTCAGGGAGGTGCTATCGTGAATGGCTGCTGTGGCAGAAGGAGAGTGCTGTCGGTTGATATAGAGTGGATGATGGAATACCGTTGAACGGCCATGACATCGTGATAGCACTGTCAAAGTTAGCTTCAGAAAAGCCCACCTCTGTACGAGATTCTGGAGGCAAGAACCTGGCCTCGTTCCCGTGCCCGCTCCAATCCAGTGGTGCATGCAATATCCCAACTACCCCAGTCCAGACAAAGACTGCTACTGGTCAAGTCTCGGGGTCCTTCATCTAAATCTCTCTTCGGATGACCAATATAGGCGCCAGTCCGTCCATGACCGTTTTCACAGACACTTGTTCGTATATCTGTTCGTATATCGTAACTCCACACACAGTCTCCGCCATCAAACGTGACAGACGAGCTAGGTTATCCCTCCCAGTAGTTGTCATTCCCAGCATATCACAGTACATACATACATGTTGTCAAAACATATCCGAGGAAGACTGCGTTTAACAAATCAACCATGTCAAAGATGTGCTATCCAGACTGTACAGATCGCACTGCGTGCCCTGTTTGCATGAAGTATATAAACCAATCCGGCTCGTCGAAAGGAATTTCTTCATGCACAGAGGAGTGACGAAGGTCTATGCGGTCGACGTGTGTATGTATAAGGCAGTAAGTCCTCTCCCTCATGATCCCCGCCTTCAGTCCACATTCTAACACACTTTAGCAGTAATATTACTTAATTCCCTCTTGCACATATTGTTTCCACCACCTACCTTAATCCATCATGAAGGCTTCCACAGCAACCTTTCTCCTCACACCCTTCCTCGCCTACGCCGCCCCAGCCAGCGACACCACCCTGGGCCGCCTCCCGCTAGCAGACATCTCCCTCCGCAGCGCAGAATCCTTCTCCCGCCTCGCCGTCGCATCGCGCAACTTCGACCCTTCCAAGACCCCTCGTGCCGCTGCCGCCGCCAACAGTTCCCTCTCCGCCACGTCCCAAAACGACATCAAAAATGGGGTTTGCAAACCAATGACCATCCTTTTCGCCCGTGGAACAACCGAGCAGGGCAATGTAGGATCTCTGACTGGACCACCGTTTTTTCAGGCCGTGGCTGCCTCCATGGGAGGTGCAAGCTTGGCCATCCAGGGAGTTGATTATCCGGCTGATATCCCCGGATTTCTTGCTGGAGGCGATGCGGCGGGTAGCAAGTCGATGGCGGCAACGGTGGGACAGATCATGACAGCATGCCCGTCCACCAACTTGGTCATATCTGGCTACAGGTAAGATTATGCTCATCTACAAGCTCGGTTCGGTTCACTAAAATCCTTCAACAGTCAAGGTGGTCAGCTCGTCCATAATGCCGCGGCCATGCTGACTCCCGCGCAAACTGCATTCGTCAAATCCGCCGTCATCTTCGGTGACCCCAACGACGGCAAGCCCGTTGGCAACGTCTCTGCGGCCGACACCCTCATTGTCTGCCATATGGGTGATCTCATCTGCGCCGGAACCGCCATGGTCCGCCCTCCTCATCTCAACTACTCGGGAGATGCTGTAACAGCAGCCGCATTCGTCCTCGCAAACATGGGCGCTGCTGGAAAGGCTGCCGTAAAGGCCATGGTCGCTCAAGAGGCTGCCGACGCGGTACTCAACGGAACGGAAAGGGCGGCTGCCATTGCTGCTGCTCAGAATGGGGCAAAGATGAACCGAACTGGTATGGCGTAACGGGGGTGCGGATGGGTTGATGACGATTAGCCATGTTTACGAATTTCCTTTCTTCTTAATCTTCCCAAGTCAAGCTATTTGAGCGAGCGGTGTGCGCTGTACGACACGGTGCACATTTTTGCTGTATTTCTGTATTGCTTTTTTTCTCTATACCTCTAGTACATGTATCTTCACCGTCTTATGCCAGCCAACCCTTCAG